CCACTTCCGGGAACCCTTCACCCTTTCAAAATAAATGTCTTTTTTTAAACAGGTATATTAAATTTCATATTTTATGTTTATTTTAGCTTTTTAAGGTTTTATATTTTCTTTTTATTTGTGACATGTGGTCTTTTTCATTCTATCTGCCTCCTTTTCTTGCCATCTAGTTGCAAGTCTTGCAGTTTTTTTCACTCAGATAATAGATTTTGAGGCAATGTTAATAAGCTAACTGAAAAAAAAAATATTTACCCGACTTTTTTTTTTTACAGTTGTAGCCTGTTTTAAAACAGCGATATTAGCCGTATATTTTGTTCTTCCCGTTGCCAGTTTTGAGCTCGAGACGAGAGGGGTTTTATTTTGAAAGGAATCCGGCGGAAGTTGTCATTCTTTACCTAAGAAACGGAAAGAAATGCGGAAATGATCTCAGCCGCTCTCTAATCTTGGACCATGCTGGAATGGAGGTGACCTTAGCTGTTACTACATAGTGAAGAAACGTGCGCTCTGTAGCGGGATTGCTTGCCACGTTTGAATGAAATTTTTGTTCTGAGTGTTTTTAAAAAATAAGCAGGGATGGCAGAGGCACATCAGACACGCGTCCAGAAAGTGGTCGAAGACATGGTCCAAGGTCTGGAGAAGGACCACATCCGGAAAATGCAGGTGAGTGATCTAACTCAGACTTACACGGTGCTTCGTTTGCCAACATGTCCTCCTAACATGCTGCCGGTTTGTGCTGCAGGGACGCATGTTCAGATGCAGCGCAGACTGCTGTGATCGCCCCTCAGACTCCATGTCTCAGGTCCATCAGTGTATAGAGAGGTGTCACACTCCTTTGGCCCAGGCTCAGGGGCTGGTCACCTCTGAGCTGGAGAAGTTTCAGGTTAGGAGCCTCACTCTACACTCATCAGCACATTGGCTGTTGCTGCAACCACAGATTTATAATTGCAGGGATATATAAAGGGATATAGTGCAAGTGGAACAGCCCCCACCTTGATAAACACCACAGCACATCCACAGTTAATACTGGATATTTAAATTTTTCGTTAATTCAGACTATAAGATTCTTGTTCCCTTATGCACTGAAATGATTTTGATAAGAACTGATGGTGATGTTATGGTTTTTCAACCACTGATAGGTTAATTTGACTGAATTCGGAAACATTTTGGTGGGTTAGAGCAGTGGTCTTGTGTTCTGTGAGGGTTGCAGGTACCCTGTTGGATCCCCACAGCCTGCACTCTGGGTTCCTGAGCAAGACCTTTAACCCCTGAAAACTCCCGAGGCGCCACACAATGGCAGCCCACTGCTCCCCAAGGGATAAAACACACAGACTGAATTTAACACTGTGGGACAATAAAGGGATTACATATAGATCTGTGTATGTATTTTAAAGCATGGTATCAATGTACTGTAGTTATTCATGGAACTGTGTTTAACATGACGTTGAATATACGCAACAGTTAAGTAACTTTGCATTGTTACCCTATTCTACTGCAACATAAAACTAGTAGTTTTATAGAAAATGTTTCAAATATCAGAGCTACATAAGTATAATCCTGCAGATCCAGATAAGCTAAAAAGACAGATGTTTATATTTTTGAAGGTGCTCATCAGTTTGGTGCTTCTCAACATGATTATTTTCAATTACCGTAGACTGCATGATGTATGCGACCCATTCAATTTAATTCTTTAATGTACCATCATCACCATTAAGATATCAGGATTCGTCACAGGGAAGGTCCTCCCTGACTAAATATATTACTTATCAGAGCATGAATGCATGGGCCTTGAAATATCACCAATTACTGCAGCCTAAATGTTCTTTGAAATCATCTATTTTGCTAAGATTGATATAATGCAAGTTTATGCATTGTGCAACTATTATTTCCAGGCACTCAAACATTAGTAAGAATGCATTGTTAATGAGCCATATGTAATGACACATGACCCAGCATGTAAGTCCTTGTAACAATAAATAAAATTATTTGGGATAAAATGTGTTGATGTACAGCTTATATGTTAGAAATCCACAATAAAATTAAGATGCATTAGACCTGGTTTCCAATCAAAGTGAGAATTTTATTATTTATTCTTTTTATATATTATCCTCTTATCTATTAAAAGTATCCTTAGGAAATATTTTAAGTAACCTTGTGGAAGTAATTTGTTCTATGTGAATCTGAGAACATTTAAATTAGATATAAGTATTCTAGGGTAAATAAAAACAAAAATCTCTTTTAAAAAATAGTTTTTTTTTGTACTTTTTATCTTGATGGGTACATTCTTGGATTTGCTTGAATGATTTTTGTTAGGAAAGATCAGTTTATTCTGTTTTGTCCTGCTCAGGATCGTCTCACCAGATGCACGATGCACTGCAACGACAAGGCGAAGGATCTCTTTGACTCCGGCTCAAAGGAGCCCGCCGTCCGGTCGCTAATGGACCGCTGTGTGGGCAGCTGCGTGGACGACCACATTAACCTCGTCCCTAGCATGACCCGGAGACTCAAAGAGAACCTGGACTCTATACAGCAGTGAGGAGTCTGGACTCAGCAGATGCAGGGTTGGTCACCCTGAGGATGTCGGCGTAGGAACCAGGAAAGATGGGAGGAGAACAGTCCAGAGACTCTGATAGTTAATGTCAGTTTGTTAGAGTTTAAAGTTTGTGACTTATCTGAACTCAGCCAGAAATCTGATAACAGATTACAGTGTATAAAACAATCAGTTGTGGTTATATTTTTTTTTTCAGATTTAAGGTTTTAACCTAAACAGAGAAAGTTCCCTCATATGAAGGATTTTACACAGCTTTTCCCAGTCTGGCTCCCCTCACTGTTTCATCCTCATGCGCTGTGATTTTTGTCTTCCTCCAGTGGTCAGATCTGTTTATATGTATGAATGAAAACACCAGAAATAAAAGATCAAATCAAAATGGTGAGGAAAAAAAGGATTTGTGCTTTGAGGTAAAGGAAAAAATTAGAATAAAGTTTGGTGTTTTGAAAGCCTTTGTGTTGGCTAACAGCCTTGCTCCATATCATGTTTAGACACTGAACAAAAAAGATTTCCATAACTCCTGTTTTAAAGCAACAGCTCATTTAGACAAGCCTATATATTCTTGATATTTGCACTTATTTGTTGGTCTTTTCATTTTATTGTTTCAGTTCCTCTCATTTAATTCGACTTATTCTAAATTGGGTAAGACCGTTTTTTTCCTAACTAAACCTAATACTGGGACATTACAGCCTGCCGGATACAACCGGTGGCTAAAAGGGCTGTTCAACTACATTCATCCTGTTTTCTTTCTTACAATAAATGTCTGTTTAAAAGAAAAGTTATATATGCATTCAACATAAAATTAGGCATAACCAGTTTGGGTTTAAAGTTCAATGCTCTACAGTTTTAGCACCCCTAGTGGTCAAATAATGCATCAAACCATCTCTTTGGGTAGAGCTCTGCATTCACTCATTCTGCCACTTGTATAATCAATATATAATCATGTTATGACAACAGATCAGTTTGGAAAATGTCAAATTTGAGATTTTTTAATCTTTGGATCCATTTGGATTCAAGTTCAAATAGTATTAAACTGAAGTAGATTTCTACTTTTGAACCGTTTAGGGAAGGTGATTTAAATGCTTTTAGATCTGTAATTTACAATTATTTTACATATTCTAACTCTAAAACTGCATAAGTTCTGGACAGCACATATTACAGAAAGACTTGATCTTAACAGTAAAACATTTACACTTCTTGTAGTTTGGCCTTATTTATTCATTGTTCTTTAATCAATGGCATATAGAGTTTGTATTCTCCAGTTAATGATTGTGAAACTAACCCAATGGTTTTCACTCATATTTTCAAAATTCACATCAGCTTACTTGTTAAAACTGTCCTCTCAGATTTTCTTAACTTGGTAAAAATATATTTCTAACCTCATAATAATCCAAAGAGGAGCCAAAAGTAAAAAGCCTCCTGCAAGAAGATAAATTGGATTGTTAGAATAAACTTTTGAAATTAGTTTTCTGTAAATATATTTTTTGCTTTGTTGGAATTATTTTTTTTTAAGTTTTTGACTCAATTGTAACCTATTTTTAAAAAAAACTGACATTTTAAAAAATGTCAAACATATTAACTGTAAACATTCCGAGGAATACGTCTGAAATCTGATTCATCACACATTACCGGTATCGCAACCGCTTCCCTGACATTTGTAACAATACTTCCACTGTAAAACAGATCCGACTGTGTGATAGCACCACGGCCCAAATGACAGGGCAGTTTTATTGGCAGTAGAGATAGATATTTCTTAAGCAAACATAAAACATCCATAAAATAAAAGTAAAAAAATAAAATAAAACCCAAGTTTAACTTTGTACATAATGACAGCTTTACAGACATAGGAGATAAGTTAAAAATACACCTGTGTTTTCAAAATGTTGGAGGTAACAGCTTGTCTGAAAAACATCCAACAGATATTGAACAGATGAATTAGGCTAGAATAAAAGATTTAGATAACTGCTGAGTTAATTTGTGTTTAAATGAGTGCAGAATAAAGATTCCACTTTGCGTAACTCAAACAGTCTCAAACCTCCCTGTAAATGATAATCATGGGATCTGACTAAACATCAGGAAGTGAGCACTGCAAGAAATGAAGCAAACTGACTTTTACTCCCTTTGTTTTGAAATTCAGGAAACAATAACGATGAAGGACATGAAAAGGGCAAATTATTTGGGCACCAATAACATAAACCTTTTTCTTTTAATTACCCATCAATCATTTAATATGCTGATTACTACGGTAGATTGATCCACATTAAAAGTGACCCATGCTCTGAGGAGCATAATCAAACCAACCAGACTATATTGATGATTTTAACAATGACTCATAGGAATGAGGGGAAAGGAATTTGATTCCAATGCTTTTAGTAACTTTTGCATCATCTAAATGAGTTTTTACACATCCTAACAGGTCTCTCTTATAAACTACCTTTATATATATATATATATATAAAGGCTTTGTTAAGAACTCTACAACCTACCAAGGCAGACAGAATCCTTCAAATCAGCCAATAACAGAAACTTGCACCCATCACAGGACACTCCCTTGAGCATCCTGCAGGTGGCAGCAGAGAAACGGACAACTGGAGGAGCTAGAAGGAGGCGGAAGACTCGTACAGTAGTAATCCGGGAACATCACAAATTAAACCAGGATGTGTCCCAAAAAAAAAAAAAGGTGCCAATTTTTCTGTGTCCATATGGTAATAAAAAAAGAAAAACATGTCATTGCAAAGAAGCAAGGTAGATCTGATCTAGAACAAAAAGGTAGTGATCCCTTCTGAGCAGTACGCCAAGTGTGTAAAATGTGCCAAAAAGTCTGTCCATACGGCTGTAAAAATTCCCCCAAACTCCACAGAAGTAAAAGCATGCAGGCGGTCTGGTGGACTGCACACAGTCTAGGTCAGTCGTTCCACCTCACCAAAGGAATGGTAGCAGCTAATGCCCGTTTGAGCAGATATCAAGACGTGACGCGAGCAGCACTTTCTGGCTCAGAGGAATCTGGACGCTGGTCTGAATGAGGTGACGTATACAGGAAATTACAGCATACATACAGGGGGAATGATAACAGCCGACTGTCCAGGTTCATCACCACGTATTCCTGCGGGATTTAACAGAAAAGACTATGGTTATGCAACGTCTGCAGATTCAGGTGATGGCATCTACAGGCCAGCAGATATCACAGACCTGGTCTTTCTCCAGGGTGAGAAGCTGGTAGCCCGTAGAGCGACTGCAGACCAGCTTCCCTCGGCTATCAAAGGAGGCCAGACGTAACCTTTGCAAAAATAATAAATAGCAATGAAAACAAAGGCCCTCCAACTAGAAGGCATTTGGATTAAACAGTGAAATTAAGAGCAAAGCTTTTCAAATGTAAAATCTTTCCACCATACACAAGCTAGATTTACATTCTGCTGCTCCCACCCCCCGCCTTGGATGCAAAAGAATCAGCTGTGTTTTAAAATCTATAAAACTTAAAGCAAGTATAACCAGGATGGGTTTTATTCATTACTTTCTTTAAAGGTGAGTTTAGTAATCTTTACTCTTAATCAGATCAATTGTTTAAAAAAAAGCTACTTCTATTAACTGCCTGCTCAAAAGGGAGCATTGCTGACATTGCAGCCCTTTTTCATTTTTCACGTTTAGTCAAAAACTACTTTAAATTCACATTTTTTGCAGCTTTAGGCAACAACAAGTGGATCTATATGTTAGAATCATTAAATAAGCAAACATCTGAAATTCTCACCTATAAGCCAGATGTCGTCTTGGTTGTAGGCTCACAGCGCCCCCACACGGCTGACTGAGTGTATTCCTTTTAAAGACTATAAAGCGGTTTGTGTACGTCACCAAAAGGTCAAACCCAAAGTTAAAGCCCGTCCACCTCCAGCAGTACTAAGACAGAGAAGAACTGGGTAATTTTCTGTACTGAAATTACACCCAATATATTAAAAAACAGAGATAACCGTAACATTAAAACCTAAAAACTCACATCTCCATCTTTACTCAGCTTCCTGCCACATCTCATGCTGTTCTGCTCAAACTCGTCTTTATTTGGCTGTTGAGGTCTAAACATAAAAAGACAGCAAAATATCACAGCTGCCTCCACTGTATGTGTTACATTAGGATTTCCCTTTAAGAAAAGGGTTAAGCAGCATGTTATTCTCTGGATTTTACCCATTATCGTTGTCAAACTCTGTTCGGAGCATAGCAAACCACTGGTTTTTGTACATCACTGATAGCCAATCTACAACAGAAATTATGGACACAAATAATGAGCAGAGAGTTTAAACCATCTGAGTGCTTTTTAAACAGGACATAGGAATTAGGAATGTTAATGCTGTGATGTTGGTACCAGGAGGTAGGATGTTGTCTCTCTCTAGGATGCGTGCAGAGGCGAGATCGTTGATGATGTACTGGAGACGCACAAGCCTGAAAACCGAGTGAAATGGCGCGCCCTCCTCTGTGTTTAAAAATGGTTCCTTTTCACACAGATCTGAACAAGGATAATTAGCAAAAAAAAAAAAAAAAAAGTTTTTGGTGAAACACAGCGTTGAAATAAAGGCCATAGCCGGAAAAGATGCAGCTGACTTCACCTGTCCTACGTTTGCAAAGCCAAGCATCAGCATCAGACAGAAGCTGCTTGATTTGACCGTCCCAAGAAGGATTGAGCTGTAGAAACATCCACTGCAGCGACACCAAGTTAGAAAAACAGAGAATAAGACATGTTTTAAACAAGCTCATATTGAAATAGAGTCATTATGTTATTGTAATATATAAGCATTTCTCCCTTACCTTCTTCAGAGCAGTGTAGACGTCCATCTCCACCTGCATGACAAATAGATCTGAGGACTGGATTAGCTGCTTCATCACATCAGCCCTGCAGTTATACAGCACAGAACAGAGGAAATACAGATTGAATGACGTTTCCACTATGAAGAAAACCTTAAACAAGGTCTATAAATACACTGTCTGCATTAATCAAATGCCCTTTTTTTTTTTTTTTTTTCTTTTTTTTTAAGATTTCAGATCTACCAAAATGAATCAAATCTATATGTGGATTTATCAAGATTTTAAAGAAGACCCATGAAGTGAATCTTAAATGACATTTTTATAGTGCTGGGTATCGTTCAAAAATTTTCGGTTCCGGTACCAATAGCGATACCTTCACTTCGATACCGGTTCCTAAATGATACTTTTTTCGATACCAGTTTTATACTATCAATTCAAAGAAAAAGAAAATTACACAACATAATAAAGTACAAATCTTGAGTTTTATTTTAAGCTCTGATTTTCCCATTTACATTTTTCCTCTTACATAAAAAAAAAAATTTCAGTGAAGAACAGTTGCAAACAAGTCAGTGTCTAATAATTACTGTTACATTGTGAGGACCTTTTTACTTAGCAGTTTTTCTTTAGAAAAATTAACATGTCTGCTTTCTCAGGAGACAAACAAGCTCGTTGAATGGGATCCTACTGACAGTGCACCGCTGGTATGTGGGGGTCTGAGCGGCTCCGACAGAAATAATATTGGAAGGCAGGATGGTAATCTGGATGAACTGACTCCACTGATTAAGTTTTCAGGTGTATTTTCCCACTTAAAAACATAATAAAATTACTTTATTCCCACTAATCACAGCAAATATAGCTGCAAGGCAAATAAAGGATAGAGTAGCTCCGCCCAACGCGCATCAGGGCCTTTTTTCGACCGCGCAGCCAGAGCAGCAAACTGCTTCAGCCGCGCGTCAGAAGCTGGTAAAAGCAGCAAAAAGGAAGCAGCAGACGCGATTTTGCTGCTCCTGCTGCGTCCGGTGTGAAAGCAGCATGATTAACTCTGCTCTGGCTTTGCACTGCCCACGGGCTGCTGAGAGGAGGATGGTTGTGCTGGCTGCGGTCCGCTCTTCTTGCAGTCAAACACCGAGCAACTTTCTGCTCTTAAATTGTTTCTGTGCATGTTTCTGTGCAAGTGTTACAGCCAATCACCGAAACTTGGCACCGAAAGACGAGGCATGTTTCGATACTTTGTAGAACCGAAGCATTTCGGTCGGTACCATAAAAGAACCGATGTTCGGTACCCAGCCCTACATTTTTATGCTGCTGGGGTAAATAAATCAATTTCTGTAAAATCAGTCATAGAAACGTATCCTCAGAAACAAACCCAAGTTCTTTCATCAAGTCAACATTCTGATGCGTCATCAAATTGTTCAAAAGCCATTCGAGACACCTGTAAAAAAAAAAAAAAAGATAAACACAAAGAGTGTTGTGTAAGTATATCTATCTATTTCAAAAGTACAAACGCTATAAGATAATGGCTGAAGTCTGACTTTTTTATGACTGAATCAAGGCCATAGATGCTCGCACAAGAGTAGTAGCCACACACAGTCTTTGCACTGATGTTCTCCTTCATGGTTTCACCGCACTGCTGGATCAAACCATCCTGTCAGCATGACAGATAAAGAAATTGAGATAAATATAGAGATTTTTATTCAAGCAAATCCTTTTGTTCATTACACATAAAAAAGCAGGGGGGGTTCATGTTGACCTACCAGTTGAAGCATGCATGCAGCTGCGAGTATACTGATCACCCTGCTGGGCTTGATCAGAACATCATCACGATACAAAGATCCAAATACGACTTGCAAAGCTGCAGATAGAAACAGTAAAAGACTAAGAAGAGAAAAAGAATGAGAAAACACTTGAGCAGTTGTTGGCTCTCTGCAGCTCTCACCTTCAGCATCAATGTTCTGGTCCGGGATCTCCAAGTTGATTTCCATCATATTTGACTCCTTCCAAGAGCCGCTGAACATGCTGGAGAAGTATCCAGACTACAAAAGGGTAATAAAGTCACAATGTGGCAAAGATGGTAGGAAATCAAAGACCTAATAAATGCAAAAGACTTGGAAGTTTTACCTGACGGAGGTAGACTTTGTGGAGGTTCCACTCCTGCCCCAGAGCACTGATGCGAACATCACTGTTTTCTCCATTTAGAAACAAGGTCTGATAAATGTACTTTGAGGTGCTTTTCAACTTCTTCCTGCTCAAGGAAAACAAAAACAAAATCAGAAATAAGGAGATGAGGAAATTGAATGAATTAATCTAGTGAATTAAATTATTTGTGGACTTGCCTGCGAGGTGTATCTAGTATGTCATCATCTCCCTCTTGTTCACTATCACAGTCGCACTGAGCGTTTCGCTTCCTTTTTTTACACTCTCCGCCATGTCGTCGGCTGCCGCTTTCTCCTTCTGCTGCTTCCTCTGGTCCCCAGTACTTAACCTTGCTGACCAGGCCTCCCATCCCTACAATAAACAGTAGTAAAATGCAGAAGTAGAAAATCGTGCAGTAATATGATTTTGTTAAATATCATTAAAACTAGATCAGGCGTTATAAATGTGATGTTTTCTCTCTCCTTATGCATCAATAGCAGACAGTCAGTGTCTATGACCTGAATGCATCATTGACATATAATTCCTGACACCAAAGATAGGATAGCTAACAAAAGCTGTGCTTGAAATTCTTTATAGCAGTCTGCAATTACCAATCAGCACAATATAAAAGAGTTTGTAATTGACTAGCAAAGACACAGAAGATTACAAGTGATTACTCAGAAGATGTGTGAGCTAAAATCCTGTTACAATTCAATCTAGTTTAAGTAAAGAAGTTGGTTCATAAGTTTAGGACAAGAGGGTAAGAATCTTCCATTCAATTAAATTGTTCGCGATAGATTTGATGAAACATCATCTGTCCATTATAACACAGATATTACACTTATATCGACTCACAAAAACACATTGACTGTGTTTCTAAACGCTTACCATACATCAGACATTGCTCCATATAGCCTCATGGCACCTGAATTTCAAAGTCTTAAAAATCTTAAAGATGACCACCAAGATTGATGTTTTATATTTTTATTGATGTAAATGCATTCTTAATAATTGAGTAAACCAATGGGTGCAGGTCAGTGTATCGTTACACTCCTGCTAATCCAATGGCAAATATTAGCCAATGACCAGCAGATCAAATAATGGAAAGTTTGAACCTTTTTAGGTAGAATCAAACCCACAACCTCTATTAAATTTCTTAGGAAAGATTACATCAGAAATGTCAGGTTTAAAAAATAACTGGAAATTTATATGAGGGGGCAAAAGCTTAATCAATGCATTTTTAACTTTCTTTACACCTACATTTGTCACTATATTATTTTATTTATACGTCTAGGTATAAAACGGCAAAGACTAATTTTCTCAAATAAATTTCGCAAAGAACAGCAAAAAATTCAGATGAACATATATAGAGAGCAAAGAAAAAAAACTTACTGGACTGGCTTGTTATAAAAATGCTGATTAGAAAGGTTAAGCATAAGGACTGAATTTAAAACGAACGACATCATAATTATCTTTTATTTAGGTTCAGGATTTGTTTAGATGATATAGCAATATCAAAAATAAGGGCAAAAAAACAAGTTTTCCCATTTATCTGAGTTTTATTGCATCTTTCATAGCATGAATAGGGACGGACATGATATTGTGGTGGATTTCAAATCGGTGCCATTAGAATCAGCAGATTCCACAGAAAAAGACTCCCGAGAGAACTTTCATTCATCAAACACGGCACAGACAGAATGAGCCAGGGGAAAAAAAAAAGACATTTAGTCCCACTTACCCAACAGTTAAGAAATAAAGCTGAGAGTCTGGTGTGAGTTTTTTGGACGTTTATAATTTCTGCCAACCTTTTAGGAAAGACTTCAGAAACAAGCTAACCTCGAAGCTAACCTAGCTACTAACCAACAAAATATTTAGAAACATTTATCCTCCCCTGGTTGGCTGTTGTTCTCAACAAGCCTCTGGGTGGTGACATGTATTTAGATACCGGTTACATTGTCCTAAATTATGGTGAATCGGAATCATAAAAGAAAATGTTTTAACACTTAAATTATATGCTTGCTTTGTTGTTCTTCTGGTTTTTTTTTTTTTCCCTTAAGAATTTCTTCTTCTTTTATGGCAGTTGGTAAATAACTGCAGAAGTGCTCTACCGCCACCAACTGAGTGGAGACTAGAACTGCGACCCTCAACCCATCCAACCCATAGATATCCATCCAACCCACCAAAACACAGACAAAAAAAATTAGAAATAAACAAGCAACAAATACCTTGAGATAGATAGATAGATAGATAGATAGATAGATAGATAGATAGATAGACAGATAGATAGATAGATAGATAGATAGATAGATAGATAGATAGATTAAAAAAAGATAAAACAAGACATGTAAAAAACTAGAAGTATAAGAACATATGCCCCCAAAATTAGTTGATATATAAGATCAATAAAAGGTTTATTATTTTATTTTTTTATTGAAAAATAAAGGATATCAATGACAATCTCAACAATACGTCAATAATATAATGAACATTACAAGAAACAAATAAGATCACAACTCCTATTAACTCCAATAAAACCTAGAGGCTAGAACAAGGAAGAGAGAAAAAAAAAAACTAAAATAAATTATTCATTACTCTCATTTATTACTACGATAATTTATTTATTTATTTTATTTTACTATTATTATTATTATTATTATTATTTTTTTTTTATCTTTTTTCTTTAATCAATATCCTATATATATCTATATGCATAAGTACGGGTATATGTAGGTGTGCATGTATACATGTGTATATATGTATATGTCCCCTATTTATTTATTTATCTAATTTTATTTATTTTTTTATTTTTTTTTTAGCTATTGTCTATTTTTGTATTACTTTTAACTATCTACTCCTGCTAGATTGGTGTCCAAACGGTTGGGGGGGTTAAAATATAAATATGAG